CTTCTAATACTTGCCAGGTCCTTGAATATTTTCCCTTCTGTTTAATTATTATTTTTTCTTTTATTAAAAACATGTTGACAATAACCTACTAAATTGACTTCAACATCCACTAAGAGGTCAGGATTTGCAGCTTGGAAAACATTATAAGTAATTCCTTGAATATTGCCAGAATACATGATGTTCCTCTGCTAATGTGGGGATTTCTTTTCCCACTGTAAAACTAGATAGAGTTGTTTTGTTTTGAATGAGGTTTAAGTGCCTCAGGATGTAGAGGGGAAAGCAAGGACACAGTAAAGTGTTCCCAGATCTCAGAACAACTGAAATTCACATCATTGTCTCACCACCCTTCATCATCACCATCATCATCACCACCACCACCATCTCATCTACATGCCCTGAACCACCTCTTCATTCTGGACCAGATGCTGCCCTAAGCGCTTCACATACTTTATTTAGATCATTTCATCCTCATGGTAATCCTATGGGGTTAGGTACCCTTATGCCTACTTTACTTCCAAGAAAATTGAGGCTTATAGAAGTTAAACACCTTTGCTCAAGGTAAGTGCCATGCAGGGTTCAAACCCAGAGCATCTGATCCCAGAGTGTGTGCTCTTCACTACCACACCTTGTGGGGAGAATTGATAAAGCACTCTTATAGTGAAAAGGACCCCAAGGCTTCAGGCGAGTCCTCGTCCATACAACCAGGGTGCCGGGAGAAGGCTGCAGGCTGGTCCACATACTCCTGAGCTTCTCTCCAAGGAGCCCCAGTGAGATGGGAAGGCAGGTCCTAGGGAGAGGTATACAAGTCCGCTGCAGCCACAAAGAAGGGCAAGCGACATGCTTGACCTTGGAAGCAAAGCCAGATCAGAGGATTCGACCTGGGGAGGAGTCCAGCCGTGCCCTGCCCTAGAAGCCAGAGGGCAGGGCAAAATTACCTGCTGGCTACCTGGGCTACAGCCAGAGGCCAGAGTGTCTGCTGAGTGTCCTCTGGGGACTGGATAGGTTGACATTCAGAAAAGACCAAACCCACTTCAGGACACCACCAGGTCAGGCCCTACCTGTGCAATCAAGCTTGTTTCTAGTTTGCCACCTTGTCATGATCTTATTGGACACAGCTCACTAGCTGTGTGACCTGGGCATGGTCTCCAAAGATACAGGCTATCCACGCAACCCCCGTCAAAACCAGTAGGGACACAATAAACATTCACTATGCTTTCTTTTTTATTACATCTTCTCAGTGACTCCAGGAGGGCAGGGATTGTCACCTACTCTGTGCTGAGATGGAGCCTGCCTCTGCCCTTGAGCTCCCCCTAAAGAGTAATAACGACTGTGTCTTTACTTTTACTTTCCACAGCAGCCTGGGTGCTAACTGCCATGGTCCCATTTTACAGATGAGGAACTGAGGCGTAGGAAGAGGAAATGACCAGGCTGCACAGCTGAGCAGCAAGAGGTCTTGCAGCAGTGGCTGCAGAGTTTCTCTTGGTTTACTGCTACAGCCTCACTGAGAGGAGGGGTCTCTGCAGGGTTCTGTGTGAGGCTCCAGCTTGTCTGCCTGCTAAGCTGAGGACCTGGAGCAGCAAAGAGGAGGGAACGGCATCCCCAAGGGGTCCAAGAACTCTAATTCCCCATGGAGGTCACACATGTTCCCACAGGAGGGGAGAGAGGCACCCTACTACTGTGTCCCGCCCCCACCCTATAACACCCACAGAAAAGGTGTGATATACAGATACAATTATCACGAAGCGTTTTTGTCAATACAAAATAACATAAACAATAATCAGAGGCACTTAAAAACGGTTAAAATGGCAAAAGCTTATGCGTATTTTATCATAAAAAACACAATTGGCTTACAGAGTTGTGAGGGTTAAATGAGATAATACAAAGCGCTTATGCATGGCACATGCTCAGAAAATAGTGGATATCGGTAAAATCATGGTTGTCCTCCTCTTCCAACTTTCAAGATTCATTAAGGAATCTCAGCGGTCCCTGATACAACCTCTCTCTAGCATGTGTTGGTCCTGCCCTGTCCAGCATGGTAGCCACTAGCCTCATTCAGCTACTGAGTGCTTGAAATGAGGTATTCCTAACTGTGGGGTGCCGTAAGTATAAAATGTAAATTGGATTTCAAAGAGTTCATTCAGAAAAAGGAATGTAAAACACCCCATTAGTAATTTTTATACTGCTTATGTGTTGAGATGACAACTTGGGAAGATACTGAGCTAAATGTAGAAAAAACTTTTTAAATGTTATGAAGTTATATGTTGTGTATTGTGTGCATTATGAGTATGTAACAACAATCCCATCAGTATGTACAACTATAATACACCAATAAAAAAAACAACGATGAGGAACAGCATGGCCATAGTCCTCTTAAGGAAGAAAACACTCAGTGGATCCTCTGGTGTGCTACCTCCTGTCCCACCCCTCTGCTGAGGTCCCAGTGTAGCCATACTCTCGGGGATTTGGCATTTATCCTTTGCTTGGGTGTTTACTACATGAGGATGTGTCTCTAACAGAATGTGAACCGCTTTGCATATTTCTAAACTTCACAAAAGTGTTGGCGTGCTGTGTGTACCCTTCTGGATCTTGCTTTTTTTTTTTTTTTTTTTTCACTCAACATTGTATTTCCTTGTTGACACACGTGGCTCTGGTCTTCTAGTTTCACAACAGAATTCTATGGAATAAATAAGCTACAATAAGTTGCATGAATTTTCGGGCGGTGGAGAGCAAGGTTTCCACCACTATTACAAACAATATTGCTACAGACTTCTTCATGCTCATCTCCTTCTGCTTACCTGTACAGGTAATTCCCCACCTGGAGGTGGATTACTGGATGACGTGGACATGTGCACCTGCCACCCCACAGAATGCCACTAGGCTGTTTTCTGGAGCAATTGCACCATTTTATGTACCCACTAGCAACACGTTCTCGCCAACATTTAGGGAGGCAGAAAGATGCCACTTAGGAGAGATCTGTGGGGCTTTTCAACTGCAATGATGACATTTACTTTTTGAATGAGGTGATGTTCCGAAGAAATATTCTTGATACTATCTTTTTTTTTTTTTGGTATAGGGATTGAACTCAGGGGCACTCAACTACTGAGCCACATCCCCAGCCCTATTTTGTATTTTATTTAGAGACAGAGTCTCACTGAATTGCTTAGTGCCTCACTTTTGCTGAGGCTGGCTTTGAACTTTCGGTCCTCTTGCGTCAGCCTCCTGAGCTGCTGGGATTACAGGCATGCACCACTGTGCCCAGTTTCATAGTACTATCCTTTCATAGTACTATACATTTAATGGAAAAGATTTCATAATAGAGGAAAATGATTACTCCCTCCTCAGCAAAAGAGGACACATCAGTGCCCTTCTTAGAAGCCTTCTGTGGCTACCCAAGGCCCTCCGGGTCAGGGCTCACAGGGCTGCCACATGGCTTGAGACCCTTTGTGGTCTGGACCCAGCATTCTCCCTGCCCTCCAAGGAGCCTCCACTTGGTCCCTGGAGCATCCCGTGCTGTCACAGGTCCTCCACTTCTACCACAAACGCCTTCCCCTCCGCTGCCCACACCACCGACCCAGTTATTTTGCCAGAAAAACTCTGCTCATCATTCAAGACTCAACCCAGCCCCCCCACCCCCAGCAATCCTCATCTCACCCCCCCACCACGCCCTCTCCTGGAACTGCACTGGGGGCTCCCTGGGTGCACTTCGGGTCCTCTGTCACAGCTCTCAGCACACTGCATGGCCCTGCTGGTCACTTGTTCCTCTGTTCCTTACACCATGAGGACAAGGACCGCAGTATTCATCTCTGTGCTCCTAGTACCCAGCCCAGTGCAGACGAATGGATGAACAAGTGGATGGAATGATGGATGGATGGATGGACAGACAGATGGATGAAAAAATTCAGTCCCCTCATTTTTTTAAAAAAACATTTTATTCAACTGTAGATGGACACAATGCTTTTATACCTTTATTTTGTTTTATTTTTATGTGGTGCCGGGATCAAACCCAGTGCCTCACGCATGCTAGGCAAGCAAGCGCTCTACCACTGAGCCACAATCCCACCCAGTTCCCTCATTTTATAAAACACTAACACCAAAGACTAATAGAGAGGAAAGGTCTATTGGCCATGAACTCAAATGTGATTCTCACTGAAAGCTCGTCCTTTCCAGCTCACGACTTGCTTTAAAATAGAAATAAATTTTAAGTAATTTGGTTTTAAGAACCAAACTCCAAAAGGCATAAGTTAAAGCACTGATAAATTTGGTTAAGTTTGACCATATAGAAATAAATTTATGCATAGCAAATAATACTAATGATAATTTCCACAATGTCAAATAAAATTCAAAACTTGGGAAAAGCATTTGCCACATATATCAGACAAAACAAACAAACAACAACAACAACAGTCATTTCCCTACATATACAAAGCAAATGAATGAGCAAGAGAGGAGCAATTCAACCCAAAAATGGGCAAAGAATAGGTGATCGATCCTCTCCACA